TGGTTGTTCCGGCACCTATACTACACTTTCGATTGTAATCCGGGAAATAGTACCACTTTTTTTTCGCAGCCACGTTATTATATATACTTTAGAGTCCACTGAGTTGGTCCTACTCTTTCCCGCGGGTAATATTCACGGCGGCAAGCGTATTTAGTGTGTGCTGCTAAAATTTCAAGTACCATTTTACACAAATTTTATGCATATATAATCAAAATTTAAAAATACAATCTTGTCAACCAACCATAAAAAAAATATAACGAAAAGCAGGGGCAACCGGTCCCAACTATTTCGCTTTCATTCAAGTGTAAACAAAATCATATGCCATTCCAACTAACCCCGGTCCTTGTATTTGGGGAATAGAAGAAATAAAATATTATTTGCAATATTTATGTAAGTTATTCTTGTCTTTTTCCCGGAAATGACGAGTAAAAGTGTCAACATAAATTCGTAGAGATTTCTCTAGAGGCTTTTTTTTTTTACTAGAAGTAATGATGATTCATCAAAAATTTGAAGAACAATAAAGAGAAACAGTATATTTCTATCAATATGAACTCAAACACTTATGCCCTTATATTCATGTAAATCGTATTCTCAGGAATTCTGTAGAAATTGAGTACATTATTTGAATCCATTAAAGACAGTTATCAAGCTACGTAAACATCTAATGGAATTTGATTCCTTAGCAGTTATCATACCAGTACTCTGCTGGTGTGCTTGTTAATTGAATGAAACTATCAGGGGGGAAAAACAGCCGTCATAATATAATATATATTCAAGAAGGAGCAAATACGTCATAAGAATATGGGAGAATATTGGAAAAAACAAGACCCACTGAAAGTGGAAAGCCTTGATTCATTGGACTAATAGGTTCTAATTATCGCTTCATACTAAAAATCAGGGGCAAGATAAACCGATCTTTAGCTGTACAATTGCCAGCTACATAGTTGAAGATCCAGTTTATGAATTACAACTTATCAGATTCGGCCAAGGGCTTTGAAGGGGAAAATTGGGGTACTGGCGGGAACAGAGCAAATTTGTCGTATTCACAGAAATACAACTTTGAAAAGGAACAATAAAGAGTTATATAACTGGGTCTTCAAACAAAAAGAAAAAAAAACACATCGATTTGGCTAAAAAAATCATGTGGGGAGCAATCTGTTGATTACCATTTGTTCCTCTTATGCGCACGATCACGTGCTCCCGGTTTGATGTACGTTCGAGCAAGACGCTCTTCCGTGATTCTCTCGTCCTCGCTATCGTTACTATCGTCCTCTTCTTCATCCTCGTCTTCGTCTGAAGCCGAACCAACCGATGGCAGGTCCTCGTTGCCCGACCTTTCGTTGTCTTCATCCGACAATGCGCCCGTATCAGCTGAAACAAGTCATCCGGCGTTATACTTATCATCGGAACCCAGAAGTTTCCCAAGTATGAAGAGAAACAGAACGCGCTGTTAGTTTCTCCATACAAGATAAGACATCCTGGTACCGTAAAAACCTCCGTTTATTTGACCTTTGCAAGAAATTCGACTTTGTATACTTCAGATTTCCTCAAAACCTCTAAATATTTCCTGACGCTTCGCCGAACGAATCTTACTATTTGGTCGATTTTCGTCTTTTTTTT